TGCACAGGAAATCAGAGTGAGCTAATGGTAATCTGCAAAGCTAATACATCTGTTGAATGCCACCACTAACCAAATAATCAGTTAGTTAATAAGTCTTAATTGATCTTTAAAAAAAAATACTGTTTGGTTCCACAAAGTCTATTTTTGGCTTCTTTGGGTTTGTTAGCAGTACCCCCCAGAAAGCCTTATTTTGGCACAGCAAACATACCAAGAGTTGTTGTTTGAGTTCTATGCCTACAGCAGGGGTGGGCAAACTTTTTGGCCTGAGGGCCACATCAGGGCTCCAAAACTGTATGGAGGACTGGGTAGGGAAGGCTGTGCCTTCCCAAACAGCCTGGCCCCGCCCCTTCCCACTTCCTGCCCCTGACTGCCCCTGTCAGGACCCCGACCCATCTAACCCCCCCCCCGCTCCTTGTCCCCTGACTGCCACCATTTCCCGCCCCCCGGGACCCCTCGCCCCTAACTGCCCCCCTGGGACCCCACCCCCTATCAACCCCCCCTGCTCCCTGACTGCCCCAACCCCTATCCACACCCCTGCCCCCTGACAGGTCCCCCGGGGACTCCCACGCCTATCCAACTGCCCCCTGTCTCCTGACTGCCCCCCGGGACCCTCTGCCCCTTATCCAACCTCCCCGCTCCCTTATCATGCTGCTCAGAGTACCAGGACTGGCAGCTGTGCCACCCGGCCAGAGCCAGCCACCGCCCTGCCCAGCAGGAGCTTGCAGCCCCACCGCCCAGAGCGCTGGTGGCACTGCGAGCTGAGGCTGTGGGGAAGGGGGGAACAGCAGGGGAGGGGCTGGGGGCTAGCCTCCCCAGCCGGGAGCTCAAGGGCCAGGCAGGATGGTCACACAGGCCGATGTGGCCCGCGGGCCGTAATTTGCCCATCTCTAGCCTACAGAATGATCCGTACTGGGATGTCTGTAGCAAACTCAGCAGAGCAAGCAGGCTTTCATGGATCCTTGAAAGTATTTTTTTTAAAGGTTATTTAAATCTTATTTATGTGCTACTACACCCACAACCATGTTAATTTGCGCATACAGCACATATTTCTGAGCTTCACGGAGTATAGGTTTTGATTTTTTACATTTACCTTCAATACAGGGATGGTCTAGACAGTATTTGGTCCTGCCATGAGGGCAGGGGACTGGACTCGATGACCTCTCGAGGTCCCTTCCAGTCCTAGAGTCTATGAATCTATAAGTCAGGGAGAAAAGAATAATACTGTATCCAATTGAAACTGCAAAAGGAATCCAGGTAGGCAGAAGATATCTGATGAGCATTGATACACTTGAAAAGGTCCCACATGATCATTCATGAGGATGATCGGGAACAATTTTAGTTTTTATGTCTCATCTAGAAAACTCAAACACTGGTTCAGTACTGCCAGAGAGGGAAGATTGCTTCCTAATGAATCAACACCACTCTTGGGTTTTCCTTGTGATGGGGTCTCAGTCTGAGGTGGCATGGCAGCAGGCAGGTAAAGGTGAATTTTTCTGTCTCTTGGTGATAGATAATAATAGAGGAAGAATACAACAGAAGTTATGAGAACATATTTTTTACCTCCCCAATCATGTTCAAGCCATTTCATAGCTGACAGAGGCAATCTGAAAGCAGGACTATTATTGTATAGCAGTTTGTTTACAAGTCACTGTGGACTCTACAGAATAATACAGAGCTTGTGTACAACTAACTGAACATGATTGGGTTGTGGGACAAACCCACTTGAAAATTTCACACCATAAATATGCTGTTTCCATGCAACTTTATTACAGAACCATTCATGTTAGTTTGTAAATACTATCTGTATTGACGATAGTTTAACTTTCCAAGGAGATGTGTGCTGATATATATGGCTCTGGAGAGCACAGTGCAATATTTGGTGATATAGCTGTAAACGTGATTGATACTATGGGCTGCTGAAGCAGTAACAGCTGTGTTCTACTGCAAAGTTTAAATTCTGCCGTTGGCCCAAAGTGCCATTTCTGAAAGGCTTGGTGTACAGAAACGAAGCTTGATGGGATGGATAGAAAAGAGAAAAGGATACAGAAAGCTTGGTTTAAAAAGAATAAACAAATTTAGAATGCCTTTCAACAGTGCAACCTCAGTAGTGTGTGAAGAGGGAACCCCTAAGCATTGAAAATAATGTTCATTTTTAACATTCATATATGTACTTCACCATTGCTACTTTATTAACCAAAAATGATATTTAAATGAAGTAAAATTTCATTGCACTGTCAAAATGTTACCATTTTCTTTGTTTGTGCATCACAGGTTTTCTGGGTTTTGGTTTTGTTTTGTTTGTTTTTTAAATGTTATACCTTTAGAAAGCAAAGGTTGAAACGTAACAAAGATGTTGCCCTAATCATCATTCTAAACTTTATGTCCACATTTTCTGGTAGATGGATTTTGACTATTAATTTGGTTTTGTATGTTTTCTCTGTGTGATATTTGTGCATTATTAGATGACTAGACTGGCCAAGGCAGACCTGTTACACTTGCCTGAGTTAGGCATTGTTTGCCATGCCACTAAACCTGCCGTCAAGTGAAACCTTCATGGGGGAAATGAGATCGAAGTCTGGCCCGCTGAAGATGGACGCCCTGTCTCTGTTTTTATTTTTTATTTTGCTTTCCTTTCTTTTTTTTTTTTTTTTTTATTTTGTCCCTTTTTTTGTTTTGTTTTTTGTTTTTGCTGAATCTCTTTCACTTCTACTTGTGAACTGGTTCTTCAGTTCTGTAAAAATGGTGTTTCATAAAGGGGTCATGATGTTTCATTTTAAAGTTGACTTTCTGAAGCTGTTTATGAGGGTGGTGGATGGTATATACACCAAGTGTTGAATTAGGTCAGCTAAATTCTCTGTTGTAAACTAGGGATAAACACTGCCTTAGAGATATGTTTAAGCATCTTAATTCAACTATGACAGGCAGATCAGTATTTGATGTCTGAAGACTAAAATAGTGATAAAGATATATCAGCTCTCACATGTGTGTGTTCCTCCTTGGACCATATTTTCAAAAGTATATCTCTGAAAAAGCCAGCTGAAACTTTTTCTTATTACTTCTTTCTTAAGAATCTAGTTTTTCCAAACAAAGTCGTGGATCTTAATCAGTCTCTTTCCCATGATCAGAAGCACAGTTTTATTTTAAGCTGTATAACCAGCACAGCATAAGGTTTCTGTATTAATTTTTAATATGAAGAAGTTAAGATATCTATTTTGGAATGACTCTTGAGAAAATTCTGAACATTCTAGAATTTTTATTCACTGTGGGTGAAATTCTGACTCCATTGACGTTAACAGAGGTTTAGCCGTTGACTTCAGTGGGCTTGGGATTTCATGTATTACTTTTGTTTAAGAAAAACCTTTACCACACATTAGTGTAAATGGATTCTGAGGCTTTGATGGGAGAATATTTTGTCAGATATGTTGTCTTTTAACATTGCTATTTGTGGGAAGATGGAAACAACTTTTTGGTTTGTTTGTTTTTTTGCGGGGGGGGGGGGGGGGGGGGAAGCGTTGTTTGTTTGTTTTTTAACCTTTACACATTAGAATGGCATTTTCATTTAGATGCAGCAGAAAGGGATTTTCTAAGAAATGGTTTCATCCATAAATTTGTATTTCCCAGTGATTAAACATATTAGGAAAATAATTTATTCTTCTAATCTCCAGATTAGATATGAGCATAAAGTGTCTTTGATTGAAGATACTTGTTCATCACTGAAGCTGTTTGTTTGTTTGTTTTTGTTTTTATAATCCATCAGTTTATAGTACAAAATACAAGGAAACTGATCCCTTCTGAACACTTGCATGAGAATGGAATCTTGTGATTATACATTATAATTTTACTGATCTCGGGCCTAATTGTCATTTACACTAAGGCCACTTTATATTGCTCTGGCAAGCCATGTCTACCCTACAGAGCCAATGCTATCATAGCTATGCTGGCATAGCTCTTCAATGAACTTGCAGTGCACACTGATAGAAGGAGTTTTCTCCATGTGCAAGAGCACCACCTCCCTGAACAACATTCTAACGAAAGCATTTTTCTGTCAGCATAGTTGTATCTACACTGGGGCTTTTGACAGCATAGCTATGTCGCTAGGTGATGTGGATTTTTCACACTTCTGACCCATATAGCTATGCCAGTATAAATTTGAAATGTAGATCAAGCCGCTGATCCACTGAAGTGTCTTAAAATGGATGTAAAAGTAATTTACGCCCCACTTAAGAGGTCCCTCTGTAATGCTAGAACAGTGTAAAGGGGCCTTTTTGCAAATGAGAATCAGATCTGTCATTTATCACTGAACACCCAAAGGTCATTAAAACTATTTTAAGGCACCGGCATAAATTGAAATAAGTCAAGAAATTGATCTATGAAGTTGAAATGATATACTTTTTAAATAAATACATATATTTGGGGAAAGCATTTCAGTTCAACTTTTAAGGCTTGACTTCACCCATCCCATAGCAATATGCATTAAGAAAAACATGCGAGCCTTAAATTTAAATGTCTTAACAGATGTCAGATTGTGCAGTAGCCTAAATGTTGTTTATATTTTTTCTGGGTTTGTATTCCTTTTTTATAAAAAAGATTAAGGGATGTAATAAAATATATATTTACTCAAGAACATAACCGGTTCCTTTGGAGCTCTTAAATTGATTTTTAATGCTAAATAATCTGATCAGCTTTTTACTAGAGTTCCATTGGGGGGGAACAGGTTGTTGTGGTTTTTTTTTTTTTTGGTGGAAAATTTCTGAAATTTCTAAACTGTTTCCATTTTTCAGGGTTCTAAATTGATTCATTTTTTGGGACAGTTTCCACAGGGTTTTAGTGTGTGAAATTTTTGTTTAATATTTTTGAGCATGAGTTTGATTTTAAAAAATCAATATTGAAAATATTGAAGAAACATCTGCAGAACCCAGATGTTGATAATTTTTCATGAAAAGATCTTCTTTGAGAAAAAGCCACTTTTTTCTTTTTTCTTTTCTTTTCTTTTTTTTTTTTTTAAGTAAAACTATGGAAAAACTTTGACCAGATCTACTTAATTTTTTTAACATAGGTGAGAAATCAAAAGTATTAGGGAAATTTCAATAAAAATTTCAATTTAAAATGCATGTTATCCACCTGGCAGACTGCTATAATAGTTTACCTTATGCGGTCATGAGTCAGCAAGTTACTTTAGCATGTACCTAATTGTAAATGTATAAATAGTCCCATTGACTTCAGTGGCATTGTTCTTATGCTTGAAGTCTAGGCACATGCTTAAGTACCTTTCTGAACTGATGACCCTCATTCAACTAAATATTTATGCATGTTCTAAATTCAATCCCTATTCAACAAAGCACTTAAGCATGTTAAGCATCTACTTAAAGTTAAGCATATGTTTAAGTGCTTGCAGAATAGGGATAGATTTAAGTGCATGCTTAAATTAGGCATGTGCTTAAGTGCATTATGGGGACTACGTTAGAATGCAGCATTACTACTAGCTTCCTGTAGGTGGATCCACCCATGTAAAGTCCCATTGACTTTGTGGGATTTTGTATAGGTGCCAAGTGTAAAGACGGGAGGATATCTCTGCAGGATTAGGGCCTCATTGCTCTGTAATATCGACCTTCATGGCTAGTTCATGTTGCAACAGCAATTTAAAAACATAAATTATGTTTTCCCTAAAATCAGCTGTGTAAATGTATGCCTAATTTGCATGCACAGTTACTGTGGTTATGTAGGTAAATATCTGTTCAGCTGCATAACTGACAATTTGTGCAAGCAAATACCTGCTTTTTCATGAGCAGTCATGCAAATCAGGCATTATAACTTCACATGCTATCGCATGTCTAATTTTAAAACAAGGCTTGTAAAGCGCTATATTCATGCTAAATACAATTTTGGCTTTAGATCAGATATGTTTTTAAAAAGTTACGGAAGAAGTTACTTTGAAGGTAATTTTCAGACACTGATAATTTGATTTTATTTTTCTCTTTAAGATAGCAATGTGGGTTGGTCTGTTGTACATTATGGACCAAAGTTTCACAGAATGTATCTTAAAGTTAAATAGCTGTGTGTTTGATTAACAGGAGTGCAACATAAATTTTAGATGAAATTGTGTTTTTTATTTCTTTCATTCAACATCTATTCACATTAAAATTGAGTTTATTTACATTTATTTTCTTTTGGACAGAGCAACTCAAATACATTCTAGAGCTGCAAATTGTGGTGCATATTTTCAAAACATTCTTTTAGTCAAATAACTCCGTGGGCTTTAATGGGAATTGCACTGCCAAAACTTTTCATAGTGCTTTGAAAATTTACCCCATATTTTACTTTTAAATCAGGAGTCCTTTTGTATGTATTCATTATAAACTCCTGAAGTTAGAGATCTGTAATGAAAATGTATGTGCAAATTGAAGTACTACCAGAAGAGTACTGTTATAGTACTTATAAAGTTCATTATTGTAGAAAGCCATTAACACCTCTAAATTGCATGGGGTAATGTATGAGGGCTGTTTTATGGTTACTTTGGCAATTTGGTGCAGATTATGAAGTCCTTAATTATTTAGTGTGATTAGGAATTCTCTGACAGTTTTTCAGTTCACTGTTTAGATTTTGTGGTGATTTAATTCCCTTAAATTGGAAATCAGTATTTGCATTTAGCAAATTGTTTAAATATTATAGAGTTTAATATTCTGAAGATTTCTTAGCCCAGCATTTTTGTTATAACTATACATATAACCATCATTCATTCAGATGAGAAATTATTTTAATAAACTATTGGCATGACAACAGGGGGAGTTTGTTAGTCACAGTTGCAATATATATGAAAGTGTAGTGCATTTAGAAGGGAAACGTAATTTAGCAACTATCTCAGTAAATTTACAATTAGACGACAAGAAACTTAAGTCTTGTAGTCCCAGTTACATTGAGACAACCTAGAAAGAGAAACAGTGCAGGTCTTTTTTTTCTCCTATTGACTCTACCTGCAGTACAGAGTTTGTATGGGGTCATTGGTAATTTTTATATTTATTTATCAAAAGCAGGTAGCAGCCGTAAAAGAAAAGGGACAGATTTCAATTAGCACATACTTTTTTTTTTTTTTTTAACTAATTTGGTTATTTGCCATTTCTGGGGATTAAACTTTAAAAAATGTTCTTCTTTTCTGTATCTGATGTTCTGTGTGCTATTAGTGATGCAGCCTACACGAACGGTTGTCATGTGTAACACAACTTTCGATCACCGCGAAAACACCGCCCTGGGAAAGCGTCCATGCTTGATATCGTTTGGTTCATGAACATTAAGTTTCCAGTACAGGTGACCCATAGCTCAAAGTGTTAAATAATTGTCTACATTATTCAGTTTTTAAAATAATAATCCATTAATGAGATTGCTAGTCTTTGAAGTTTTGCTCACTTTTGTTTTTCCTAGTAGAGCAGGGTAAAAGGAAAAACTTAAGTTCTTATTTGTTTTTTGTAAGGATCTGGTAGATAAATTCATTTTTCTTTACTATTGTTTTTAAGTGCAAGGGTAAATAGTAAAATCATAAAAAGAATAACATTAGTTTGGTGTTCAAACTCTCTCTAACACTTCCATTTGCTTCTCCAGGTAAAATCCCAGATGAAGCCAAAGCCCTCTCTTTATTGGCTCCTGCTCCTACTATGACAAGCCTGATGCCTGGTGCAGGGTTGCTTCCTATACCCACACCAACTCCTCTGACTACTGTAAGTAAAATTAATCTCTTTGACTTGGAGTTAATAAATTGTTCTGTTTCTTCTAGCTCCCTCCTTCAGCCCAACCAAGAATTCTCCCCTTCTGGGTTGAGAGAAAAGGAATAGCCCGGTTCCATGACATCACATCCTACCTACTAAGTTGGAATAGCCCAGTCCCATGACATCACACCCTACTTAGTAAGTCAGTGAAGACACTAAATCCCTCTGTCTTGATTTTTCTCAAGAGGTCAGGCTAGAGTATGGCCAGCACATTCACTCTGTTTTTCTTTATTTCCAAATTCCTATTCTGCAAAGTACTGGACTAGATTCTGTCTTTGATTACATCCATCTTAGTTGAATGGGTATAGACAGGAGCAAAATCTGACCTAATGCGTATACTACCAACCATTCCCCTTCCCCAAATAATAATAAAGTTTAAAATACTAGAATTAAACACATTCAGTCCTTTGGAAGGCTAGAATGCCACATTAGGATGCTCAAGCACACTCCCTCCAGTGACTGGGGCTGTTGCATGTTTGCCTCAAAATGCTATCACTGCAAAAAGAACAGAGGCTTTTATATTCTGTAGCTTCTACTTATTGCATATTCAACTTCCCTTCTGTTTCTGCTAACCCTTTCTGGCAGCAACAGGCTACCATCCCCCTTCCCTCTCCACCAGGAATGGAGGAATAAGCAGACCTTCCTTCAACAAAACTGCGCTTAATGAGTCTTCCCTCTGTTCCCCTGTCATCAGCCCCACGTTATTTGAGGAAATGGGGCCTTGAGCTACTGACCTTGCTGCAGCTCTGCATTCACCAGAACCGTTATTGGTACCATCCTAGATTTCTGCATTGTGCCTTTGACAGCACCACTACAGACACTGGCAACAACAGTGTGCCCTTGAATGGCTCCTCACCAAACTCTGTTACTGGCATCATTAACAACACCTTCAACTTCTTGGTTTGATATTGATCAAACCTCTAGAAGAAATGAACATTCTAAGGTCTCTTCCTCATATACAAAATGGCATAAGAAAAGCAGGCTTGGCTAAGGGCTCAGGCAATAGTTTCAGAAACATTGGAAAGGACTCTTTTCTTCCTTCTGGTAAGCATTATTCCTTTTTAGAATATGATGATTTCTGCCCTATTAGTCCTTGTAGACAATGTAAATATTCATAAAGAAGCAGTAGTCATCAAGCCACTAGTTAGACACACATGATAGATTCCTACTGACCTTCTGCAAACTAATATGCACAGAATGACACCAGCTCACCCTAGTAGTTGTATAAGGGACACTGTAGTATTTTAAAAATTTTCCTTCTAAAATGAAAAGACAAAATTCCTGCAAAATGATCAATAGTTCAATCCTTTTGTAATTTCCTGTAAACAGTACCCATCCTCGTTTACATGCCAGGGAAATTCATTAGTCAAAAATGTTGTTACTGACACTTTAATGCCTTGTGCCCATAAATGCCCCTGCTCCAGCCATAAATAATCCACCGTTTGGATTTTGAACCAGATTAATCTAATCACCTAGCAGAAATTACCCCTGTTTATTATAAGTCATCTTCCAGAAGTTAACTACTCAGTTTATCTGCGCTCTAGGACTTTAGCCAAGAGAAAATATTCAACCTTCAGCATTTTAAATATTTTTTTAGAATCTCTGCCCAATTCTACTCTCAGAATTTTCTGTTATTAAAGTACACCTCTACCCCGATATAACGCTGTCCTCGGGAGCCAAAAACTCTTCCAGCGTTATAGGTGAAACCGCGTTATATCGAACTTGCTTTGATCTGCCGGAGTCCGCAGCCCCCCGCCCCCCCCCGGAGCACTGCTTTACCGCCTTATATTCGAATTTGTGTTATATCGGGTCGCTTTATATCTGGGTAGAGGTGTAATTCAGGAAGAATTTAAAAGACGCATTGAGCAGTACTCTGTTGCAGCCTAAAATAAATTCAGATACTAATTTTTATAGCACTGAGAATGATAGGCCTGGTGCTTAGACTGATCAGGAGTTATGACATTTGTTATAAATACTTCTTCAATAACAAGGAACTTGCTTTGTTCTTTGTGAAGAAGATAATGCTTAGACTTGGACTCAACTGGTCAACTGATTTTACTAACCACATAATGTTATGGCATCTGTCATGAGAGATCACTTCCATATTTTGGAAAGTGAAGGCATTATTCCACTTTGCTGCTGCAGAAAATGACTGACTATTTTTTGTAAGGAAAATAATTTATAATTTAATTTATAGTTGAAGATAGTGAGATGGTAAAGAAATTTTGTCCAGAGGATATTGGCTTGCATAACCTGTTGTATGCCTTTTCCACTTCTCTTATTCAATTAAAAGCTTATCTAACCTTTCTTTTGGGTAGATGGATGTAGTTTGTTTAGAAAACATGCAGATTAGGAAAATAATCACACCTATCAAAACCAGGAAACTTCTAACCCCTTGCTTCAGGCTTTGCGGATTCCAACTTGATTCAGCATCTTCCCTTGTCATTCAGTCTAAGTAAGGCAAATATTTCTCAGTCAGAGATTTTTTTCCCCCCAGTTTACAAATTCTTATAAAGGCCAAGTAGACAACCATCTGTGAAATCTTTGTTTCAGTCATTCTGTTGCATGTTAATAAGGGACATAAAGTGAAAAAATGAGGTATCGCATTTCGTGGTGGATTGCAACTCTCTTCAAAGACATCTAATGTTTCTGTCACTGGGAAATAGCCTTCTCCAGTACATAGTGAGTTCCTGGTGACAAGGATGTAATGTGTTGCACTAGGTCACGTTTTTGTAGTATGATGAGTGCCCTCTTCTGGTGCAGGGGCTCTTGGCTTCCCTCCAGAACCAATTGGAGTTGAGGGTGATCAGCACTTTGCAGGATCAGGCACTTAGAGCAGGGGTAGTCAATTGTTTTTTGTCAGGGTCCAAATTTCTTGGTCAAGGTATAGTCAAGGTCCAGACTCCAGAGAAAAATAATAACAATAATGATAAAAATAAGTAAATAAAAAGATTTTGGAGTGTGTTCAAAAGCATCTGGCAGTCTGGATTTGGCTACCCCTGCCTTAGAGCCATCTGGCATATTAATTACGGTAATAGGTTTGGATCCACTTTAATTCCCCTATAGGTGGATGGATGTAAATGTGGATGTTTTAACATATTTTAAGAAAATTTCTCATCAACACCAATGTGGTGGTTGTGTTATTTCAGTTTTAAAGATTTGTTTTTAATACTGTCAATGCATGTTTGGGAAACCAGATTTGCTGTAAATAGCGCTCAGGTATTTTCAGACGCATGTACAAGGGAAGACCATTACTCTTAGCATTTTTATCTCTGGTAGTTTACAGACTAAAATGAAAAGGGTTTCCAGTCCCCAAAAGTGTATTTATTTTTCCATTGCATGTTCAGATTAGATCAAAAGATAATGTTTGTACTTCACAGTTCAAGAGACACAGAACAGGCTTTCATCTCGGGGCCAAAAGACCAAACACATCGAGACACTTGATAATAGCCTTTAATAGGCCGAGAGACTACTTACACGTAATCTGAGCTCCTTGCAACCACAAAATAGTGACCTTTTAAATGCCAGATAAAGGACTGACAGTTGTGCTTGTGTAAAGCATTTGACAATATTTGATGTTTGTTTAGAAAAATCCTAGTTCTGTATTCTTTATGGATTCTCCAGAAGGTAAAAGGAGTGAATACAAGCCAAAGTGAGCTGCTGTTCGCCAATGAATACATTCTGGCAGAAGAGGAAAGAGGGTGAAATTTGGTGCCAGTGACCTAAAACTGGAGAATCATTAAATTTAAACTAACGCTCATACTTTCCATTCTGGAATTAGGAAAATAGTGATTTATACATGATCTTAGAAAATACCTCATCCCTGCATTTTGAAAAAGGAGCAGATCTTAACTACTTGTGTTTGTAACTTCAGTTATCAACTAGTATTTCTGTGTTACTTAAAAAGAAACACAGAAGTTTATACCGTATAAAGATTTGGAAATAATTCTAGAAGTCTGAACCAGAGATTGACATAAATTTTTTCTTATCTCTGGTTCAGGAGCAGTAGTTGAGAAATCATAAGAACATTCTTTGTACTCCAACAATAGATATTTAGTTCTGGCAGCTCAGAATACAAAAGATTTTAAAAGTCACATTATTCTGATTACTATCTCACTTATTCCTCTTCAGGAGTTGTGGCATGATTTTTGCAGCTGATATCTTGAAGAGCTGCTAGAAATAAGACTAAATACTTTATAATAGGAAATTCTCAACTTTTTCATGGCATACATTACATCTTAATGGAGAGTGTGCCTGGTAGACCAACTCCTCCCATCTCTCCAGTCATAATCCTATATACAATTGTGCAGCATGCTTACATGGAATGCTAGTATTAAGAAAGTCTTAGGTACTTTAATTTTTTTTTTTTTTTTTAAAGCAATTAGTGTTTTGTCTGTTTTGGAAAAAATAAGTATCTCCTGCTCTTTGTTTCATTTCTTTCTGTCATCTGTCCTGTTTCCCACTCTTTCCCCCAGTCAGCTACATGTATTTCTCTTTTGCTTGATCATCATCTCTCCCTACGTGTGCTTTGTTGCTGCCTGTTCCTCTTTGTTACGGGCATTTTGGTTCATTTCTCTGCTCCCCTGCAGGCTTGTCCTCCATTTCCAGAGGTACGCTGCCTGGTGGTCCTCCTCCCCACCTGCCTGTTTTCTTTGTTCCCTGAACATTTTTCACCTGGCTCCCTGCACCTCTCGTGCTAGTGCATGGCAGTTCCATTCCCTGAGATCAATTACTCTTTACTTTCCTCCTCCTCTTTTTCTTATGTTGCAGTAACCCCTGGTGGATGTAGCTAGACTGGCACGTCTTTGTTTTTAGACACCTGAACTCATGTAGAAGCAATTGGAAATAAGAAGGAAATGGTACCATGTTACTTACCACCTCTCTGTTGCCTACCAGCTAGTGCTTTACAGTCCACAGAATTGCTGCATAATGCTGTTTGAATGCTAGAATTCCAGGTTTTCCACCAACATAAGGAATATGAAAATCTAGCAATTGTCAAGATACTTGTTAAAATCACTTTGGAATTCAATTGTGTGTATGTACGTAACGAAAAGCGTGATAGTTAATTGAATTGTTGGATTTTTAAAACCTAATCTCTCTCAATCTACTAGGGATAGAAACAACTGCTATATACTATCTATGGAATTCTATTTTCCACTGGTACACGGTGTTCATTTACCTCTCTGATGTTGCACAAGATCTATCACTGATCCCCAAGACTAATGCTGCTTCTGTAGTTCTGGACCAGGACTGAATAAGAAATATTTAGACCTCAGCCAGTTTAGGTCCTCCTCTGAGCTTTCACGTTAGCAGTGGGTCGAAGCTAGAAAAGCTTTAGGCTGAGATTTCAAAGCCATGTAGGGGATTTGGATGCTCATTTTCCTTTAAAATTAAGGAGAACTGTGTGTCTAATTATTCCCATTGGGCTCTCCATGGCCCCTGTAAACATTGCAGCCAAAGCATTAATCACAAGAAACTCCGTTGTTGAGCAATATTAGTCTTTCCTCCTCCAATTTGTCAATTTTTATATTAATCTAGGGAAAAAACTCAAATCTAAGCACGTGTTTCACAAAAGAAAATGTAATCTGGTCTCTTTCTCTACAATTTAAGACTTGGGAGGGAATTATGTCATTCTTGACAGCATAGCTATGAAATTCTTGTTTATTGTCTCATGCTAGGAAGGTGCAATAGACACAAAGTAGAAAGTTGCCTTTTCCCTAGATGCTAATTCTATGTTTATTAATATCATGGGCATAAATGTTCATGTTTTATTTTCTGCAGGGGAATTCTGCCATTATCTTTCTGTTTGATTATGCTATAGCATCACTAGCCAAAAAGCTCAAATAAGATGGTGACTGTGGCCGAATTTTGGAACATTTAATATATGAGAGGTTCGATTTGGGGGATAGAATTTTTGTAAGGTGAGGGTTTAACTGTAAAAATATTGTCTCTGTACCTAATTTGTATTTTGTTTATTACTCAGATGTACTTGGGATAAAAGCCTTGCTGGGACACACAATCTCCCATTTGTTTATAAATCATGTTCTGTTTTTTTAGCTTAGTGTTTCACTTGGCACGTTGGGAGCTATACCAGCAGCAGCACTGGACCCTAATATTACAGCACTTGGAGAAATACCACAGCCACCAATTATGGGAAATGTGGATCCTTCCAAAATTGATGAAATTAGGAGAACAGTCTACGTTGGAAATCTGAATTCTCAGGTATTGTCCTTTTTGTCAAATTTGAAATGTTAAATGTAGTTTTTAGCCCACGTCATTGTGATTTATAATCTTAAACAGTTTTGAAAAAGACCCATATGTGCATAATGAGTTTGTTCCACATGGTAAAAATAGAAGATAATAGAAGATAATTCAGACAAATAAAAGAAGATGCTTTTGTGGTTATTAGTTGTGTTGTGAATGCTGCTTGTGAAATGGCGTGGGGTGAGAGGGAGAAGAGAACCTGTAGAATTCACTGCTGCAAAGAAACAAATACTACAGATTTTAATGGTTTTATCACTGTGTATTCTGAAATAATGATGATCTGCATCAGAATAAATAAACTGATCACTTCAGGGATTATGACGGAATTAGTGTCATCCCCCCATCCATGTGCAGCATTGCTCTGTAGGGTAGGTGCACTGTGGGGAAGGAATTTACCTTTTTCTCAAGTATGAATAATTGGCCATCACAGGAGGCTCGTCTTGGTGGACTTGTATAATCTAGTATGAAAAGTCCTCTGTATCCATAACAGGGAAATGAAGTCCTCTTCCTTAAATGGCCAATTATTTATCAGAGGGTTATTTAAATATGAAAATGCCACTCAGTCAAGAGTAAATGTGGCTTTTGTTTTGTTTGCCTAACAATATACCTAAGTAGAAAGTCACTACTGTGGTGAGTTCCATTCTAAAACCCTGGACGAGTGAATAGATAGAAACAACATTTTAAAAAAAAATTAAAAATATTATTTTGATGCACTTTCAATCAGTATATGTAACGCAAATGAAATTATTCAATTTGAAATATAAATAAATTGCTTTTTAATTGATTATTTCAAATGAACTACCCTGAAAAAAGCAGATCTGTATGGAAATACGTTAATTATTCACAGGTATGATGAGTTCAGGGCTTGCAATGATCCTTTCCTTCATTTCTACAGGCAGTTGGAGGGGGAGGATAAGCATTTTCACCTTTCCTTTCCTTGATTATTTTAATTTGTTGGATTAACATACCTCTGTTAAAATGGTTGATCCAGAAACATTTTTCTTTTTTTTTTTTCAATAATGTATAATTTCCAAACATCACCCTTTCAAAATATCTTTGTATTAGTGGCACCATTTTAAATAGAAGCAGACTTTTTAGATGTGTGGAGAAAAAAAATGTGATCCTCCCTTTTCTAAATTGGCTAGTTTCCAAATAACTTGTATGGAGGAAGGAAAGAAATGTAAAAGTTTTGGTTCACGTTGCCTTTGACTAATGAAATCTTTTTTCTAATCTCTGAAGTTCTTAGGTTACCTGGTATGTTGGATAAGTGTTTTTCATTACATATTTTACTTCACCTGAGCTTTTTGACTTTTTCTAGACTACAACAGCAGATCAGCTGCTTGAATTTTTTAAACAAGTTGGAGAAGTGAAGTTTGTGCGAATGGCAGGTGATGAGACACAACCAACACGGTTTGCTTTTGTGGAATTTGCAGACCAAAATTCTGTACCTCGTGCTCTTGCCTTTAATGGAGTTATGTTTGGAGACAGGCCACTGAAGTAAGAAATTAAACAGAAAATATCCAAATGAATTCTGAACGAAAGATTTCTCAGTATCTTTATAAATGTGTCTGTAATTATGCCTCTCATCTGTGGAGGTCTGCCATACAAAGCAGTTTTCAAGGCCTGTATTAGCAGGGTACTGCTTTCTGTAGCCTTTGACACCTGTTGTTTTACACTTTCAAGAGTGAAATGTGACTTCCCCTGGATACAGGTATAGTGAAGAACAGAGCAGCCTATATTAATATTTAATCTCTGAGGGTGAAATCCATCACCGTGTAGATAACCCGCGCTAAGCTCTAATTAAGCCCTAAATATGGTGCTTATGTGGTGAATAGGTTTCAGGATATAAATTTCACCTTTAATAATTAAAAAAAAAAAAAAGTTAAATTTCTTAGTCTTGTATTGTTTGAAAGTATGCTTGTATGCCACACAAATATGGGCATCACCATGTGTATTAATGCATTTATTCAAGGTAAAAAAGGTTTTAGGCAATAAAAACCAGGTACTACGTGTAAATACTTGGATTGTATTGGTGATAATAAGGAAAAAATCTATAGACACGCTAATTTTGGATAGGGTGCAGTGTATATTTGTCTTGATTTTTTTTTTTTTTTTTAATCAAGTTTAAAACAAAGTGTGCACGAGCATAAATTTAAAGCTAGGTTTGTTCCTTACTTTAGAATAAATCACTCCAATAATGCAATAGTGAAACCTCCTGAAATGACTCCACAAGCTGCTGCCAAGGAGCTGGAAGAAGTGATGAAGAGAGTAAGGGAAGCCCAGTCTTTCATATCGGCAGCTATTGAGCCAGGTAAATCCATTATGTTCGCTAGTTAGGAGGAAACAAGTATATCTCAAACAGTGTATCTTGACATGCATTTATAGAGCATTTTCAGACAGAGAAAAGGACTCCCCCAAGATGAGCAGTATTTGTCTTTGGTAAAAGTTGAATAATCAAAATTATTTTCTTATGTGACAAGCCAGTGGATTCCAGGTTTCTTGTCAAATTTGTTTTGACATATTTTGTTTTCAAAGAATTGTTCAATGAATGCTGTCAATAGCTTAAAACTGTGAAGTCAATACTATTATAATACCTAATAATGCTTAATGCTAGTGCTTTTTTATATTCAAAGTGCTTTACAGACATTACATTTTTCACTCTATCAATTCTTTGTTGTCCTCTGCTTGTCATTAAAGAATATGAATTGGTTTATCTTTTTAAAAAAACTTGTAATTAAGATAACAATGAAGATTTTTCATAGACCTTTGAGATGTTTCATTATCATTAACAAACCTAGATGCTGCATAATTATCTGCCTTGTACAAAACTGGAAGACACAACACTCTAAAATTTCCTAGTTATTTCTTTAATGCTTTAATACTACTCATAGTATCATCAGATGGGACCTGATTCACTGCCCATCAAAGTCAATGGAAAACTTTCCATTTACTACAGGGTTTTTGGATCATACCGTTACTTACTTCTCCAGAGGGTTGTGAGGATTAAGTAGTTAATATTTATACAGTGCTTTAAGTGCTGAGTGTCATTTAACTTTTTGTGCACGTTTTCAAAATTACTACTCTCTGAGTTTTGTCTATTCTCAGAAGTTAATTTTTTTCAGAAAAAGTAATTTATATAATTGAATAAGCCAAGAAGAGAACATGTTGTAATCTTGTGCATTGTGGCAGCAACATAAATCCCATTCCTTACTCAGCTAGCTGTTTATAATTATCTGGTTTATGTGTACTGCTGCAGGATGGCTGCACTCAACGAGTATATGCAATGACTTTCTTGGATGTTTCTGAAGGATTTTTGCAAAGAAGGAAGATGTGCAGAGAGTAGGCCCATTGCACTATATGTGGTACATTCCACTTGTGCCAGATTGTTAACTGGGATCTTTAAATGTTCTGAGCTTACACTGCAAAGTGGTTTTTTCCTCTCAGAGTCTGGAAAGAGCAGTGAAAGAAAAGGCGGTCGATCTCGTTCCCATTCTCGTTCAGAGTCCAGATCTAGTTCAAAATCCCGATCTAGAAGGAAAAGATCACACTCAAAACGCAGGTGAGAATACTTTCCATTTTACACTAAGAGATTACACTGTGTTTCTTGATGGCAGTAGCTTTTGAGATTGTCTTTGAATTCTGCTGGGAGAGATTTATTGAACTACCTGATACTGTTGACTGAACCAAAAAAAGATCGTTCTGTGTTTGGGCAGATTTTCATTCCCCAAAACCAGATAATCATCATGGAAAAGCTATTTTTGGACAGTGTTGAAAAGATACAGGACTGATTTAGAGCAGACGAAGATAAAATGCTCACATTTTAGTACTTTGATTTTTTTGTTAAATTTTGAAAGGTCTGGATTTCAGAATGTGATACAATTAATTGCTTTGCTGGTGGACAATGTAGTCAGATTTTTTTTTTTTTTCCTGTTGATGGCCTGGATTGTTCGATGGTTTGGTAGCTTTTACTGATATGATACTCGTAGCATCCCAAAATTATAAATGTTACTTAACGGACTCAGTCTGAAAATGCTTCTGACACAAAACCCCCGCACCAATTCTGGCTAAATTTTTTCATACTTAATCCCCACTATTTTGGTCTGAGAATTTGTTTTGATTTTCAATGTTTAAAATTTGGCTAGGTTCTAAATTCCAAGTTATCTAAAAGTGGAAGAAAACTTGTCTGTATAATCTTAAAAAATTACCTGCAAACTTTTTTTTACCCATAAATGAGACAAGGGTAAACTCTTGTTATCTCAATTTTGGAAATGTCTCCTGAAATCAGAATTCCTGTTCTCTGAAACTTAGAAATATCCCCATAGCCATTTGGATAATCAAAGTTACGTACCCACTACCTCAGATAGCAAAAGAGTGAGAGAAATTTAGCATAGAAGTGAATGTAAAGTAACTTTTTTTTTTTTTTAAGTTGTTTCCTCAGTATTGCATCTGCAGTTGTGTTATGCCCCTTAATGCATTGTCCTGTCACGTGGCAACTACCAGAACTCCATGGTGGGCAATGAGGTGACCCATAGGGACTCACCACATCCATATACTACCAAAGAGAAGCGATTTGTCAACCGCTGAAGGGTTGGCTTTAGTTTTATGGCTTGTTCCAGTAGGTGTAACCAGAGATTGTGTTCTATGATATTAGAAGATGGAAGAATTATTTTTTTACAATCAGTTACTTGCTGAATGCCTATTTGGGACAGTCAGCACATAACTAGACAGCTTTTTCTCTTTAGGAAAGCTTTACATGTCACACACTACAATTTTCAGATTCTTTTGTCTATGGATAACTCAGAACTGACTATGCTTTAAGAGCCAAATTCTCACTTGCCTATTTCAAAATTAGATACAGGTAAATAAATGTCTGAATCCAATGCTTTGCATAGTAGCATGATGGATTTATTTTGACGTCAGTTCTGGGGACTTATTGAACAAAAGATCATTCTGATCCTGGCAGAGAGTCAACAGCATTTTCAGAATAAACCTCCCTCAGTCATACCCTGTTTCCTGGTGGCTTGTCATCCCCGAGTTACTTTCATCTCAAATTCATCAATCACAGAGGCCTTATTCTAAGTGAGCTGGAATTAGTTGACAGTCTATTCCACATTAATATGTGAAGCACAGCTGTAGGCAAAACAACCCTAACCTTTCCCCGGTATACCCTCTTTTGAGTATGCATCTTGAATTGCAGAACACAGGGAGTGCTGGCATTTTGTGCATCTTTTTGTTCCTCAGGATTTAGACAGTAATAAACATGAGTGCTTCCTGTCAACCTCCACTTTCCTTGGTAAGTTTAGATGGGGCAAGGCAACTTAAAATTGGTCCCTAAAATATCAAACTCAGTAGAACTGATCTGGAATTTTTTGATGAAACTTCTTTTTTGTCAGATAATGCTGATTTGTCAAATCCTAAACTGTTCATGGGAAAGGTGTTGATGAATTTTTTGTTTTGAAATTTTTTTGAAAGAAAGGCTTGAAATTTTGACATTTTCTAAACAAAAGTTCCTTTTTTGGGGTTGACACAACATTTAATTTTTAAATTGAAGTTAATTTATAGGTTTAAAAAAAAGGAAAAGCGAAAGTTTGAAATTGAAACAAAGCATTTTAAAATTCATTAAATGAATTTGTCTGAACCAATCCTTCTCCCGTAACCTCCCAGATTTTTGGTTTGTGAACATTTTCAAGATTTTCATCCTGATTTGGGACAGGAAACTTTCAAAATCTTGAAAATTCTTGTGGGACAAAAACAAACAAACATTTCCTGCCCAGCTCTAGTACAAAGTTTTCTGAGCGGGGTGTACTTTTTTTCAGAGTTAAAAGAAAAAAGGTTCAAATCAGTAAATTATAATTTATTGAAAATAATGTGGAGAATATCACAGCATGTCATTTTCTACACCAATCTGAGTGAATACTGAGTATGTTTATACAGAAATAAGTCAAGCATGTTTCTACTTAAATGTCTGCACTTTGGAATAAATCTATTTGCATTTATTTCTATGATTTGGCATTCAATAAATGCATACACTATATTGGAATGTCATATATACAGACTAAGAGAGAATATATGATGATATGGTATAAAGGATTTATTAGCATGGATTTGAGATGGCCATGTTATACCCAAGTGCAAAGCCACAGATAGATTGGGCAGATAATCCAAAATGAGGACTATTAAAACTTTATATCACACCATCATATGTTTTGGATCTGCCATCTTTTACAGAAAAACCACTTGAGAGGTTTCAGAGAGTTTTTAAAAGTATGTTAGTACTAAGGCTGGAAAGCCAAGCTAGATTAAACCTGTAAAGCCAAATTGCTTTAATTACCATGAGCCAACTGAACAGGACTTGGAGGGAGGGGAAAATGTAATTAATTTTTAGAGGATTGTAAAAATTAAGTGCTATGTCCATCAGGATGTGTATACTGCACTTTTTTCTAGCCCTGATGGTGCCAGATGTAGAACCTTGAATTTGTTATTGGTCCAGAGTGAATATTGCCTATCCTGTATCTCATACTGGGATAACTTTGGAGGGAAAGGAAAGGGTGCAGATTTAAAAAAGAAAAAGGGAGAGGGGGAACCCACTCTGAGATTTGAAGTGTTCAGTAGTCCCAGAATATGGTGAAGGTGGAGAAAGTATACAAAGGTTGGGAACGTTGAACACAAGAGAAGAAAAGAATGATAGAAGAAGAGGAGGGAAGGAAGAAGACAAAATAACATAGGAAAAGAAAGACAGAGAATGGAGCGGAAAAAAGATAAATATTTACCCAACATAGAAAAGTCATATTGAAAAAGACAAAAGATAAGAATCATGGTGGTAGAAAGGGAAAAATAAAGTTAAGGAAGTTAAAAAAGAAAAGAACAAATGCAAGGGAGAAAAAATTCTACCTAATAGATACTGTTCATGCAAAATGATACAGTTGTGTTAAAAGGGATGGGAGTGTGAAATGGGTGGGGATAGAAATTCACCTAGAATCAATCCTACCTGGTTGTCTCTTCTCTCTACTGATCTTTATGTTGAATAACATTCTTCCTATTGTATTTCTGCACCCCATTTTTTTTCTATGATTATACCTATGCAGACTGAGACCAGTACTGGAAAACTATGTTCTGATCTCTCTATTTAAAAAAAAAAATTGACAAATTGGAAAGGCTTTGGAAAAGAGCTAGAAAAATGGTTTGAGGTCTGGAAAACCTGCATTACGTTGGGAGACTTTAAAAGCTCAATCTAGTTCGCTTATTCAAGAGAAGGTTACAAGGTGATTGATCATGGTACCTTTAATTGGAACTACTTACTTAAGGATATAGTGGATTCTCGATTGCTTGATGTGTTTTAAATCAAGATTGGATATTTTTTCTAAAAGATATGCCCTAACTGAACCAGAAGTTAGGAACTTTGATGCAAGAATTGCTAGATGAAATTTTGTGGCCTGTGTTACATAGGAGGTTGATTCTTTCTGGGTGTAGAAAATGCAAAAATTAAGATTGCCTGTCCACACATTGAATGATTGAAGAAATGCAAGAGAAAACATTAATACAATGTTACATTTAATAATTTAAACACACAGGAATAGGGTGATCCAAAATATTGTAACTAAGCCATATTGTGTATACATACAAAGGTATAGATTTAACAGCAGTATATTGTAAAATTAAATTGTTTATCTTACAGTAAAATTCAAATAGCACAATCATACGTAATTACTCCTGTGGTAAAAATATGTTAACTGAGCAGGCGTAGTTTCTATATTGCATGCCAGCAACATGGACTGATTAGTGCAAATTTAATTTTGTATTAAACTTCACACCCTCGTTGGGATGATAATATGAAGCATTAATATTGTACAGTATATTCAAGGAGGTTCGATTGCTGTATGATTCATAACTCTGCTTTTCCTGACATTTCTCTGTGTTAATTCTTTGCTATGACATTGCAGTAACAGAGTTTTTTAAATGGTATATTGTTTTGAAAGAGGTGGGACAGCCTGATCAAATTTTAAATTTGGAGAACTGTGAAAAAGTTCACTGTGGGCTAGGCATAATAATTAGATGAAATACCATGTATTTAATTTCCATGGTTTATGTATTTTTTCAGTTGTTTCTTTTCTGAAGTCTCAAGGTTAAATGTAGTATTTATTCTCTGATGTTGTTTGCTGCAGGAGTAGATCACACAATAGATCACTCTCTAGTCAGAAGGATAGGCGTAGATCCAAAAGTCCTCCCAAAAAACGTTCCAAGTCTAAGGAAAGGCGGAAGTCAAGAAGTCGTTCTCGTTCCCGGTGAGCTTTCTTTGCTAACAGTTGGTGTTATTCTCTAGTTCATAGCTTCTGGAAAAACCTTAAAAAATTTAGACTGCAGGTGAAAAATGAAATCTCTAAGTTCATTTCTAAGCTATTCTGTCTTGAATTTTCAAATTATTTCTATTTTATACCTACCTTTGTGATATCAGTTTCATGGCTGTAGAAATGTGAAGATTTCCATGGTGTTTGAAATAATGTTTATTTCCCCAAGAAGAAAACTATGCAAAATAAATACTATGGTTAAAATTTTCAAACTGGGGTCCCTAAACTTTAGGTACTGAGCTTCCTCAACTTCCACTGAAGTCAGTGGTCACTACAGTTGTCCAGCATCATTGGAAAAAAAAGATAGTTTTTAGTTAAATGCCAGACCTTAGGCAACCAAGTTTGGAAATTTTACTCTACATGACAAATTCAACTGTGATGTAAGTGGGCACAAACTATCACTCCAAAGTTGTTGCACTGGCTTAGACTAGGGTTGAATTTGGGCGCAAATCAGCAAGTATTCACAAAACAGACATCCACCGTGTGTGTGTGTGTGTGTGTTAGCTCTGCCAATTTTCTAGTTATTTCGGGGTGGTTTTTTTCCCTCCTATAAATAAAACTATTCATCTTTGTGTTATGAAATATTTACTTGTTACCAGCCTAATCCAAATCCAGTTATTCATGATCAGTCCCCTTGACTATCAGGCTTGGCCAACTACAGGATTCCATTAAGCTAATTCTTCATCTTATTGAACAATAGCATAATTCTCATACACAGGCAATCCATCACTCTGGGATGGACTATTGAATATCCACATCAACAGGTACTCATTAATGCAGCTTACTGGATAGAAGTTTTGGCGCCAAAATGGTCTTTAGTGTCCTGCCTCCATCTGGCAGAAGCATCTCTATATACTCTATCTCAGGGGTTCCCAAACTGTGGGTTGGGACCCCAAAGTGGGTCAAGACCCCATTTTAATGGGGTCGCCAAGGCTGGTGTTGGCCTTGGGCCCCAGCAAGTCTGAAGCCCAAGCCCCAATGCCCAGGACCCAAGTCCCAGCCCCGGGGGCTAAGGTTACCCGCCCCCCCCCCGCCCAGGGCAGAAGCCCTTGGGCTTCAGCTTCCCCCCTTACCCCCTCCCCCCCCACCTGGGGCGGTGGGGCTTGGGTGGGCTCAGTCTTCGGTCCCCCCCCTGGGGTTGTGTAGTAATTTTTGTCGTCAGAAGGAGGGTCACGATGCAATGAAGTTTGAGAACCACTGCTCTACCTTAGGGGGGCTTCAGACTTGCTTTTGTAGGTAATTTGGCCTCTTCTCTCCCCATGACACACACTCCTCCTCCAGCATGTCAGAGAGCAACGCACTTCAATGGTGGAATTGGTTGGGCCTGATCCATCAATGACTAGCTCCTTCTGGCCACTGGGTATTAGCACTCCCCTGCTCCTGACCTGTTCAGCCTTTCTGGATGGTATGTCCCATTGGTGGGAGCAGTGGTCTTCACAGGCTCCTCTTAAAAGGTGTCCCCACAAGAGCCTTTGGCCACTGGATCTTGATCATCTGAAGGCCTATGTGGAAAGAACTTTGACCAAACACTGGTTCTAGTGGAGAAAGGTAGAGATCGTGGGGACATGGCTGGACTTTGTCTGAAGGGAGCCCTAGCTACACTTATGAGCCTCCTAGAGTAAGTCCCATACTGGTGGCCAAAGCAGCTTAATCTTTCTCAACCAGTCTAGCTATCCTGGGCTTTGCAAACCTATTACTGGCTCCTCTTATTGTGATCTCTTCTGGCATTTATCGTCACAGAGTTCTTACTTCTCCCGAAATTTCAGTGTATTTGTTTTGAGATATTTATGCAATCACATAAGCTTTTCACTGGGTCTCTTTTTGGAGGGATCATCCCAAATGAGCCCCACAGCCAAGAGAAACCTTCAGATTTCATCTGACTCGTAAACAAAAATCACCAAAACAAAACCAACCAATCCTGCAAGATGGAACAATTGCTTCCAAAAGCTCAGTGGCTAAAAGATTGGAACATTTTCTGAAAAGTGATTCTGATGCCTCTTCAGCAACCTCTGCTCTCAGATGACTACTCCTCACCAGAGACCTTCTGATTCAGAGATCATTTTGTTGTCAAGACATCGACAAGTTCTAGCTTGTAGAAGAACTTGAGAGGATGAATCTGTGGGAACGTGGGTACTCCAAGCAAATACTGGATGTATTCCTCCAATCCAGGAAGAATTGTATGTGTCAGGCCTACTAATGTGTCTGACTTGTCTTCAACAGCCTTGGCTCTTATTCAATAACTGTCAAAATGAGTCTTCTTCTTTGATAGATTAAGTAAAGGTCTGAACCTCAGCCCCTTATATATCCATATGGCTGCATTATGAGCCCTCTCAGCTGGGAAAGGAGAGTTTGTGTTCAGACTTTCATATTTTAGGTTCACCAAGGCAGTAGCAAAATTTCATTCTCCAATCAAAGCTTTTGTGGCCAGCTGGAAGCTGAATTTTTTTTGGTTGAACTAAAAGAGCTGCCCTTGGAACCAGTGGGTGCTTCCTCATTTTCTTTTCTTTCTATCTTGGTTCTGTCCCAATTCTTCTTCTTCTTCTTCTAGGGAAGTTAAATGTCTGTCAATCCATTAAATATTAGTTGGACAGAACAAACTTGTTCAGGAAAAAGATCGTTTTGGCAAAACCAAAGGCCTCATAGCTCCAAAAGTAACCATCTCCAGCTGCAAAAGAAACCATCTGCTGGTGGCTACAAGTAATAGATGTCTTATACAAAAGATGGTAAAATCCTTCCATCTATTATAAGATGCAATTCCACAAAATCTGTATCCACTTCTCATGCATATTGAAATTGTTTGTTACAAAGAAATGTGCAAAGCAGCACCCTGGGCATCTGACCACTCTCTCACAAAATATTGCAATGTGGATATCCCATTTTCCTCAGGTACAGCATTTAGTCATCAGGTTCTACAGTCTGCCATCCTTCCGTGAGCCATATGTTTCTGTTTTCTTCCTCCCTTTCTGTGTTTTGGGTAGCTTGCCAACTCCTAATAGCTTAATCCAGACTGATGAATTGCCTCTATATGAGAATAAGACAATGTTGCCTTTGCCTGTAAATTTGCCTTTTTATAACAGGGAATCCATCGGTCTGTATATTTTTTCCCTCCTTTGTTAATATGTACGTTAACTTCCCTTGTTTAAAGTCCAATAACAATTATCCTGGATTTGTGGCACAGTTCAGGATATATATGTATGTATATGTATATATGTATGTATGTGTGGTGGAGCAGTTTAGGACTAAAACTTATAATTTGAGCTTCTTTTGTGAGTTCCTGAGGCTGTGATTATCCTATAGCAGAGGTTCTCACAACAAAATTTTTGGTGACCTCAGAGTGTAGCCACCAACTCTTGCTGCTGGTAGCCCTTACAATTTTTTCTAAATACTTAATTAACTTGAGGGGAAAAAATTAAATATGCACATATATACATCCAAATCATTGTACTTTATTTGTGTAGGGTTTCTTTTTTGCAGACTCAATAAAAATAATGTACAGTTGTCTCTATTCTTTACTGGACCTAACCACAAATAGAAACACTGTCCTATAGTCCATTTTAGGGTGATGGATTCCCTGTTATGAGAAGTATCGGAGGGGTAGCCATGTTAGTCTGTATCCACAAAAACAGCGAGGAGTCCGGTGGCACCTTAAAGACTAACAGATTTATTTGGGCATAAGCTTTCATGGGTAAAAAACCCCACTTCTTCAGATGCATGGCTTATGCCCAAATAAATCTGCTAGTCTTTAAGATGCCACTGGACTCCTCATTGTTATGAGAAGAAATATTTAAAAGCCAAGTTTAAAAAAATCTGATTTCCCACAAAATGCTGGAAAGTCTACTTCAGCAATCAGGTTCCTACAAATGGCTGTATACTGCACTTATTCATAGTCTGTTCCTATGCTATAATGTCATCAGTCTAAAGATTAATTGTTTTTTCTTTCTTTTTTATACCTCTGCCTTCAGCTGCTGCAGGGGGGGAAAAAAGCTAGATTGTTAGGAATGAGGTGGGTGGGAAATTTACATTTTGCATAGTTGTGATTATTTTTGAAGGTGAGAATTATGAGTTTTGTTGAGCGTTTATTAGTAGGGTAAAGGAGTGAATTCAGCTTTTTATTAGGGTCCTTTCAATGATGAATGAATGTTTCTTTTTCATAGGGACAAGAAAAAAGACAAAGAAAACAAAGAAAAGGTCAAGGAAAAAGAAAAGGTCAAAGGGAAGGACAAGGACCGAGACAGGGAGAAGGAGAGAGACCGAGATAAAGAAAAAGAGAGGGAGCGGGACAGAGACAAAGAGAGAAACAGGGACAAGGATAGGGAGAGAGATAAAGAAAAAGATCGGGACAAGGACCGAGAGAGGGACAGAGACAAAGAAAAGGAGAGGAACAAAGACCGGGAGAGGGTCAAGGATAGGGAGAAGGACAGGGACAAAGAGAAGGATAGGGAGAAGGACAGGGACAAGGAGAAGGAGGTAGTCCGGGACAAGAAGGAAACGGACCTGGAGAAAGGGGGGGACAGGGACAAGGAAAAGGATCGGGAGAAAGAGGGGGAAAGGGAGAAGGTTAAGGAGAAGGACAGGGAGAAAGACAGAGAGAAGAAGGAGGGTGACAAGGAGAAGGACAAAGACAAGGAAGGGGACAAAGAGAAGGAACGGGAAAGAGAAAAAGAGCGGTCCAAAGAGAGCGATGATAAAAAGAAGAAAGAGAAGAGATCCAGAACACCTCCTAGAAGCTACAGTTCTCTAAGAAGATCTCGTAGTTCCAGCAGGTTTGATTCTGTTTGATAATTTTGCTATGCTATTTCTTAACCTGTCAGTACAATGAGATAACACAAAACCTGAATATTATGCATCAGTATTGCAATGTCATTTATTAATAAGATAGAATTTAATTTTCTGTGATATTGTTCTCTCTAAATTGATTCTGGGGAGGAAACCTTGAAGCTTTGTTTCTGTTCAGAAATTATTACATGTTTTATTTCAACTCCAGGGAAAGCAACATTTATTGCATTTAGCTTTATGACATAAATAATCAGCAGGAAGTTTGGTTTTTTTATGTCACATATGAGATTAACATAGAACAGGACTGACAAAAGTTGGTTTCAGATTTCGCCTCCAACTCTGGTCCTTCAGATAATTGTGCAGTATCCTCTCTCAGCGTGATAGTTAGCTCTTTTTTGAGGTGGTTGCCTGCTTCGAGACACACTCTTGAGATGCACCTATATTGTACACTGGGTTACTTTAGAAAGCTTTGTCTGTGAGGCAGCGTGCACGCTCCCTTGTCTCACCAACCATTTGGGCTGCAGGTTATATAGTTCCTCAGTTACTTCTAGCCACTAGAGCCTCATTGCATTGTTCCCTACATGCTAAAAACAGCCAAGAGACGGCAGAGGAATATTAGCTATTTATCTTGTTCTACTTAGCTTTTATTGTAGTTTAGTAAAGTTAGTGTGAATTTGCATTGTGCAGTTTAATCCTGGTTTGGTTTTTTTGTATTTGTGCCAAGGGGATCTTCTTTTGGAACTGAGGACCGATACATCTGGCTTCAATGGTGCCCTTTGCGTAAAGTCAAGGTGTACATGGCAGACTCACTGACACACTGCCTCCTATACTTTAGTGAAACTTGCCTATCTGTGAGGTTCTCTCTAGTGCCACTTTCACCTGAAGAGCTCAGAGGGATTGATAGTCCCATTTCTGGTAATTTCTGATAGGCTAGCTCAGAAGGACTCTCCATCCACATCAGAAGCAGGCCCTTCTTTTTTTGATGGAAGGCCAAGTTGAATATGGATTCCAAAGTGCAAAAAGAGACCAGTCAGTTCAGGGACTAAGAAGAGTCAAAAAGGGAAAGAAATGTCACTCTTCTTCTGAATTCTGTAAATTGGACGCACTGAAAGAAGCCATCAGTATTGAGATATTTCTGTGTGCGGAAAAAAAACCGAAACGCATCCTCCTCTGTCTCAGTACTTGAAAGGTTCTGGTGATGCTGAGGATGCTGCTGGTTTGAGGCAAATCTCAGAGCCTTCCCCATACTCCTATTCAAATAAGCAGGGAACCAATTATGAATGTGCAGAAATTCCTCTTTAGAATAGTTCTGTGGACTGCCATCTCAGAGGGAGACTGAGGATCATTGTGGGAGTTCTCATTTCCATGAGGATGTCCCACTTGCTCCCTTGTTTCTGTCAAATTTGGCTGTGGGAATAATGGTGTAGACTACTGCATCAGGATCCAGACTGGGCTTCACTTGACCCTTTTCACTCAGTGAAGGATCCGTTTCAGACTATCACCTAATCTTCTTGTTCTTTGCACTGTCGTGTTAAGACCTACTATTCAGGATGGCCACTAAGGAGCTGAGAGTAAGGAGATAAGAGCCTGTGTAAACAGGAAATAAAGACAGTTTTGTATTCAGGGTATCAGAAATGAGATCAAATAAAGACCCAACAAATCCTTAGAATCCAAGAATGTCAAAGAATTAGTCCTAAAAAGTCAGAATAAATCCCTGATACAAGACTGAAGGTTTAGGCAGGCTACCCTATCTTTTATAGGTCTATTTATTTGTGTTTTGTGGTGCTTAATGAAAAGTTTGGATAAAGGTTTTATCACCCTTCCGTTTTCAGAAAGAGGGAATATAGTGTTAGTTTCCGTAGTGTTGGCATAGCTCTGTAGTGAAGATGCAGCCTACCCCAACATAAGGAGTTTTTCTGTCAGCAGAGGAATGGCATTAGCTACGTCAACTGAAGTGTTATTCTGTCAGCCTAGCTGCATCTGCACTGAGGGTTATGTTGGCATATCTACTTTGATCCCCCTTACCGATGTAGTTATGATTCTATAACTTTCAAGTGTAGACCGACCAAGCCTTTGTGTAGAATCATAGAAATGTAGGGCTGGAAGGGACCTTGAGAGATTATTTTATCCAGTAACTGTGCTGTGGCATGAATACATACGCCTCGACTATCCCTGACAGTTGTTTGTCTAATCTGTTCTTTAAAACTTTCAATGATGGGGATTCTACAAACTTGCTTGGAAGCCTATTTCAGGGCTTAACTAGCATTATAGTTAGAAAGTTTTTCCTAATATCTAACCTAAATCTCCCTTGCTGGCGATTAAAGCCAATTGTTCTTTATGTCCACTGAGGGTAGGGCAAGATGTAATCAAACACCGTCCTTTTTATAACAGCCCTTAATGTACTTGAAGATTATCAGGTCCTCCCCTCAGTCATTTTTCTTCCCCAAGATAAACATTTCCATGTTTTTAATCTTTCTTCATAGGTCATGTTTTCTAAACCTTTTATCATTTTTGTTGCTGACTTCTGGATCTCTCATATTTTCTGCATCTTCCTTGAAGTTTGGTGCCCAAACCTGGACACGCCATTCTAGCTGAGCCCTCACCAGTGCTGAATAAAGCAGGAAAATTACCTCTCGTGTGTTATGTATCATCCTGTCAATACTCCCCAGAATGATATTAGCCTCTTTTGCAGTTGCATCACATTTTTGGCTCATGTTCAGTTTGTGATCCATGATACCCCCCCAATCCTTTTCTGTAGTGCTACTGCTTAGCCAGTTATTCCAATGTTGTATTTGTACACTTGATTTTTTCCTTCCTAAGTGTAATACTTGTCTTTATTGAGTTTCATCTTGTTAAATTGGAGAACTGATCTAAAATCATCATTTTGAATTCTAACCCTGTCCTCCAAAGTGTTTGCAAGCCTTTCCAGCTTGATGTCATCCACATATTTTACATGTATACTGTTTATTCCATTATCTAAGTCACTAATGAAAATATTGAGTAGCACTGGATCTAGGACAGACCCCTGTGAGACCCCACTAGATACATATTCCCACTTTGACAGCATGTCATTGATAACTTTCATGAGTATGGGCTTTCAACCAATTATGCATGCACCTTATAGTAATTTCATCTAGACTGCATTCTGTAGTTGGCCTATGACAATGCCATGCAGGACTGTGCCAAAAGCCTTACTAAAATCAAGATTTATCATGTATACAGCTTCCCCTCTATCCAGTAAGTCAGTAACCCTAAAGAATGTAATTAATTATATTGGTTTGGCATGATTTTTTCTTGACAAATCTATGTTGGCTCTTCCTTATCGCTGTATTATCCCCTAGGTCAGGGGTGGGCAAACTATGGCCTGCAGGCCAGATCCGGCCCACCAGCCATTTTAATCCGGCCCTCGAGCTCCCACTAGGGAGGGGGGTCTGGGGCTTGCCCTGCTCCGATGCTCCAGCCGGGGAGCAGGGTCGGGGGCCACTCCACGCGGCTCCTGGAAGCAGCAGCATGGCCCCCCTCTGGCTCCTATGCATAGGCGCAGCCAGGGGGCTCCGCTCTGCATGCTGCTCCCGCCCAAGTGCCGCCCCCGCAGCTCCCATTGGCCAGGAACTGCAGCCAGTGGGCGCTGCAGGGGCTGTGCCTGTGGACGGCGCAGTGTTCAGAGCCTCCTGGCCACACCTCCACATAGAAGCCGGAGAAGGGACATGACGCTGCTTCCGGGAGCCACTTGAGGTAAGCATGCACCCCTGAGCCTCTCCCCACGCCCCAACCCCCTCCAAACCCCTGGATCCCAGCCCAGAGCACCCTCCTGCACCCCAAACCCCTCATCCTCAGCCCCACCCCAGAGCCTGCACCCCTGCCCCAGCCCTGATCCCCCTCCCACCCTCCGAACCCCTCAGTCCCAGCCTGGAGCACCCTCCTGCACCCCAAACTTCTCATCCCCAGCCCTCCACCCTGGAGCCCGCACCCCCAACAAAAGCCCTCACCCCCTCCTGCATCCCAGCCCCAATTTTGTGACCATTCATGGCCCCGCCATACAATTCTATTCCCAGATGTGGCCCTCGGGCCAAAAAGTTTGCCCACCCCAGCCCTAGGTGCTTACCAATTGATTGTTTAATAATTTGTTCCTGTATCTTTCTAGCTATGGAAGTTAGGCTGACTGGTCTATAATTCCCCAGGTCCTCTTTGTTCCTCTTTTAAAAAATAGGTACTATGTTTGCCCTTTTCCTGCCCTCTGGGACCTCATTTCCATGAGTCTCAAAAATAGTTGCTAATGGTTTTGAGAGTGCTAGTTCCTTAAAAGTACCATAGAGTGAATTTCATCATACCCTGCCAATTTTAATACATCTAATTATCTAAATATTATTTAATCTATTCTTTCTGTATTTTGCTGTGGGTTCCTTCCCCTTTGTTGTTAACATTAATTGTGTTAAGTATTTTATTACAGTTAACTTTTTTAGTGAAGACTAAAGCAAAATAGGCATTTAACACATCAGCCTTCTTGATGTCATCCATGTGCTCTCTTTCCCTAAGTAGTAGACCTACACTTTCCTTTGTCTTGCTATTGTGCCTAATGTATTTATAGAACCTCTTATGTCCCTTGCTAGGTGTAATGCATTTTGTATCTTAGGGTTTGTCTACACTACACAGCTTTTAGCAACACGGCCGTTGAAGAACATAAATCCACACCATGTAGAGGTCAAGCATAGGAGTTTATTACACACAGCGCTGGCGGAGTGTCACCTGGCTTATTAGGCTCAGAGACACTGTCAATCAATTGATTACAATGGAATATATAGATTTTCCATGGGCGGGGGAAAGTGACGGGGTAGGCAGTTCCACACCCCGGGATAGGTTTTGCAGCAAGACAAGTTAGCACAGTAGCCAATGGTTAAAAAGGTTACATAATGTCTCCGCCCATGGTCTCAAGTTAGCAAGTTAACATTTAATTAATACTTTGATAAAATGTTATTAGTATAAAATATATATGTTGAATTCTGATTTGCGGTCCATAGGAATGGAGCAACTCCTTTGATTGTCCAACAGGTACATTCCTAGGGGTTAAAGCAAAGAAACAGTGAAAGCATATGGCAATAGAGATTGTCTCCTTTATGTCTTAAGGCAGGGCATTGGTCCCTGGGAAGGGAGGTGGAAGGATGTCATATCATTATAGTGACATGTGCCAATTTTTCATAAACTCAAGGTTGGATCTGTGGGAAGACTGTTTGCCCTTCAGGAGAAACACAATAGGAACAGGGATCCTTTGTTCAATTTGAAACATTGGATGAAACATAACACTGCTCTACAGCCAAAATGCTTCTGAAATAAATGTAGTCAAACTTTACTAATTCTGGGTCACTGAGAACGAAAATGATGCTTAAAATTGTTGATTGGCTCTAGTTTTCAAGATATGCTATTGGGTCAGTATATACGACCCTTGACTTGTGAATGGCAGAGGATAAGTGAGTTATAAAGGGAAGGGATCTCAATTTAAACCAGAAATGACTAAAATACATCTTTGACTGGATCTATGAATAAATCTATGACTGGGTTTGGACAGTATTTGCTTTTTAGGCAAAACAATGAATGATGCAATCTGAAGCTGGTATTGCGTCATACATGATATGAATTGCATCATGTTATTCCTCGAAGTCATGGATGATGCAATCATAAGGAAGCTTACATCACTCTGCTGAACAAATTGCCGTATATCAGCTCTGGAAATCATACAGTGTCGTGCTCTCTTATTTGTCAGTGTTTGATTTTGCAAAGAGACACATTTCTGTTTAGCCAAAGTGAGCAGAGATGCCTCGTACTTGTGTGAACAGTGCAGATAACTTCTGCTATGTTTGTGGTGAAGTGACTTTTGCATCAGAAAAGCGCAGTATAACCACTATGGTTAAGAAAGCCTATCACCTTTATTTTGGCTGCAAAATTGGAGATCAGGACAAGAGGTGGCCCACACACATATGCTGCAACACTTGTGCAACAAATCTTCGCCAGTGGTTGAACAGGAAAAGGAAATCTATGCCTTTTGCAGTGCCAATGATTTGGAGAGAGCCAACAGATCATACCAGCAATTGTTACTTCTGCATGGTGCCTCCAGTTGGGAAAGGTGTGTCAAAGAAGAAAAAGTGGACTGTGCATTATCCAAACATTCCATCAGCTATACACCCAGTACCCCACGGAGAAGGACTGCCGGTTCCTGATGCACCAGAATCATTCTCACTTGAGTCAGACGAGGAAGAGGAAGAGGATGAAACTTCTGGTCCTGAACCATCAATGTCACAGGACCCACATTTTCTCTCATCCTCCTCCTCTGAACCACACCTCATAACACAAGGTGAACTGAATGACCTTGTCAGGGATTTGGAACTACCCAAGAGTAAGGCAGAGCTGTTGGGCTCCAGACTACAGCAGTGGAATCTCCTGGCAGGTGATGTTACAGTTTCCATGTTCCGTGACCGTCAAAAGGATCTTGTCCCATTCTTCTTCATGGAAGGTGATCTTGTAGCCTGCAACAACATCGATGGTGTGATGGCAGCCCTCAACATTGTTCACGATCCAGATGAGTGGAGACTGTTCATTGATTCATCGAAGACGAGTCTTAAAGCTGTTTTACTGCATAATGGCCATGTTTTGCCATCAATTCCAGTTGGTCATGCAGTCCATATGAAGGAAACCTAGGACAACATGAAACAACTTTTGAGGTGCATAAACTATGACCAACATCAGTGGCAGCTTTGTGGCGATTTGAAGGTTGTTGCTCTCTTGCTTGGTCTGCAGACTGGATACACAAAGTACTGCTGTTTTCTCTGTGAATGGGATAGTGGTGCAAGAGATTCCCACTACATCAAGAAAGATTGGCCACTCCGACAGTCATTGGAGCCTGGGGAGGAAAAGTGTTCAGCATCCACCACTTGTTGAATCACGGAAGATTTTGTTACCACCCTTACACATCAAGCTGGGTCTGATGAAGAACTTTGTCAAGGCCATTGACAAAACACAAGCAGCTTTCAAGTACCTCTGTGAAAAATTTCCAAGGTTAAGTGAAGCTAAGATAAAGGAAGGTGTCTTTGTTGGTCCTCAGATTCGTGAACTTCTTCAAGATGATGCATTTGACCATGCACTGCGTGGCAAGGAAAAGACGGCATGGAAAGCCTTCCAGTTAGTGGCAATAAATTTTCTCGGAAACAACAAGGCAGACAAATACAGGTTGTTGGTGGAAAACCTCCTCAAGGCATACAAAAGCCTTGGTTGCAACATGTCACTAAAGATACATTTTTTGCACTCTCATCTAGATTTTTTTCCACCGAACTGCGGAGCAGTGAGCGACGAGCACGGTGAGCAATTTCACCAGGACATTGCAACAATGGAGAAACGCTATCAGGGCAAATGGAGCCCATCAATGCTTGCAGACTATTGCTGGACAGTGACAAGAGATGCTCCATTTAATGAATACAAGAGACAAGCCAAGAAGCGCCGAGTAGACACTGAATAGGACTAAACTACGTACATAATAGTTTTTTGCCTTTTGTTTCATAATAAATTTTATTTATATAACCCTTTTGCTGATTTTTAAAGTGTTACATAAACAGGACAGGTGAAATATTATCATGTAAAGCAACCATAAACACATGAAAAGACCTAGGTTTACAATTTATGATTAAAACTCTACTATCTACACAATATACATAGACATAAAATGTAAAAACTTAAATATCTTAGAAACAGTAGCCAATCAGTTGTTTTAATTGTCATATTTGAATTCAGCACATCAAAATACATAATAAATAGCACATTTTATCTCTGAAGCAGACGACTTCTCAAAACTTGTAGACCAGTGTAATTATTCAGTTATGCTTCAACATCTGGCATTTCTACTGATCAAGCATATCTTAGCAAAGGCAATGTTGTCTTGTTTATTCTGCCTTTCTCTTAGCTAATCACTATTTGCAAGGCCTCTGGTCTCCAGACCAAACTCTGGACTTTGGGTCTGGAAAAGAGCTGGCACAATCCATATACCAGGTTGTTATATAAAATGCACATGGATTTTAACCCTTCAGCCGTGTCGCTAAAAGTCGGGCAGTGTAAACCTGTTTTGTCAGCACTTCTGCTGACAAAATACTTGCACCCCGTACACGCGGAGTTCGCGTTGTCGAAACGAGAGCGCTCCTGCTGACAATGAGCCATTTACACTGCCACTTGCCGTGGCAAAACTTTTGTCTTTTGGGGGCTTTTTTAAGCACCTGTGAATGACAAAAGTTTTGTCGTTCAATTGGCAGTGTAGACAAAGCCTTAGCCTTATTGATTTTGTCCTACAGTCTTGTGGTATTCTTTTGTACTCTTTCTTAGCAGTTTGTCCTTGTTTCCTCTTTTTGTAGGCTTCCTTTTTGATTTTCAGGTCATTAAAGAGCGCCTGATGGAGCTATATTGGCTTCTTACTATTCTTTCAATCTTTCCTTTGTATAAGGATAGTTTTCTGTTGTGCTTTTAATATTGTTTCTTTGAGAAACTCCCAGCTCTCCTGAACTCTTTTTGTCCTGCTTGGTCAAATTTCTGAAATAAACCATGACACAATTTTCTGTTCTGAAAAATGCCAACAGGAAGGGGGCATCCATTTTGATATCACTTCTACTCTAGTTTAATATTAAACTGTCTTTAGATCTAGTTAACTTATTTTTGTTTTATGCCTGGTTCATTGTACGTGCAGTCAGAGGGAGTTAGAGAACTCAGCAACACTCTGGATTAGATCCTAGAATAGCAAATTTTGCTAACTAGTAAAAAAAACCCTACCAAACTCCTATTTAAATAAAATGTTAAGAATCTGACTTAATCTGAATTTCCTGTGTTTGTTGGATTTTGTTGGGCTTCAACCTTCCCATACAACTATTGTGTCCTATTTTTTTTTTACACAGCATTGTTTGTTAACGATAGCATGTCATCCTTTGAGAAATAATAATAATAGAAATGTTTTAATCCATATTAAAATGTTCCCTGTCATGATTTACAACAAACACCTCTGGGACTGATACTGTGTGGAACTGGGTCCTCTGGTTCTGATCCCACAAAGCATTTCAGCTCGTACTCAAGTTTAAATACATTAGTCTATTGAAGCGGGACTACTCACATGCTTAAAATCTGTGCACATACCTAAGTGCTTTCTTTGATCAGGGCCACAGGAATCATATTTTACAATTGAGCTTCAGATCACTGTAAGGCATGCAGCTCCATACAAGGTAAATTGTAGTGGTTTCATCAGCTCCTGTAGAGGAAATTTATGTATTTGTAATTCTTAAGGTATGTGTTCTAGTAATAGTTTATCTTTCATTACTCATCAACTCAGCTGATAATTTAAAGATTCATGTTTAATAATGATAATTCTTGGCTCTTATGTTGAAGGAGGAACATTTCTTATATTGCAAACTCTTCAGAGTAGGGACCATAGGTGACCCTGGCCTCGCTGAGGTCAATAGCTTCTAGTACAATGAGGTCCTCATCCTTGGCTTTACTGTAATGACAATAGGTAATAATAAATTTAACTCTTATCAGGTTCCCATTATCACCTGATAGAGGTGTTTGGGCTGAGAAGGTAAATTTATTCCCTTCCAAAATGTGATATAGCAGAAATCTGAAGAAGCATAATCTCCCTCTGCTACTTCCCTCTGCCATTCCTCCTCCCACAAAACTCACTTACACAAAGCTTTAAATTTCTTGACTTGTGTAATGTATGTACAGTCAGTGAGGCATACACTTAGCAGTGGCCAACATGTTGCAGGACATTAACAGTGTCAACCAGTTGTCATGCCAAAGAATAATGTTAAGAACCATCTGTTTTCTTATGCCATTGTCTAATTTATTGTGCATCTTCATTGCCTAATTTTGAACTTCTTGGTCTTAACAGAGAAAGGCGTAAGAGGAAGAGTAGAAGTCCTTCCAAGTCTCCAAAAACATCCAGAACATCAAAGAGAAAGTCCTCTCGGTCTCCATCACCAAGGAGGTGGGATTTATATACATATTAGAACTAAAATGGACAGCTAAAAAGGAAAATCTTTAATGATCTTTCTCCCATACTGAAATTTCATCAGCTTCCCAGTATCAGTACCAATATCATGCAAAAAAAATTGTTGAGGAGATTTGGATTTCTTCTGGGCAGTTTTTGTTTTTTGGGTTTTGTTTTGTTTTTCAGTACATGTAAGAAGTTTTCTACCTGTCTTGTATGTAAATGACAATGACAAGATCAGCCCTCTTTCTCCAAAACAGAATCTTAGATGGAGAATCTGGGAATATGAAAAAAACTTGTTTGGAAACACTGTTCTCATCAGTTTATCACCCCTGCCTGAGTCTCTTTTATTACACTTCCGTCACTGCAGATAATTTCAATTGGTCAAAGTGATTCAAGTCTCAGTTCAATCTTGCATTGATTTATTATTTTGGAGCCCTTTATATTCTTTACCTACAAACCAATCAAAGATCCTTATTGCTCTGTACAGCTGTCCTTTATCAATTTGCTCCCCTCTTTGTATATTTTTGAAAATTAAATTCTTTAGCTCTTTTGAGTAAGAAAATTGACAGTGTTTTGCATTTTTACAAATATTTAATTTCTTCTCTCTTTTACCCATTGTTTTGGAAAGTCTCACAGATGCGGGTCTGGTTTGCAATTTAATGTTTTGATAGTAATTCTAAATCTAATTGGAGATTAAAGGAATCAAACTGCAGTTACTGATCTGCAAACCATTGAACTGCTTCAGTCAGTTGTTCATAAGAAAAAGATTGTGAATTTACTGTCCCAAAGTCTGATAGCTATTAAACAAAAGAGCAAATGATGAAAAACCTTATATGTGTGAGCAGTTATTTCTAGATCAATGTGAGTGACTTGGGAGTGTAAGATAAATTACCCTTTTTTTTTTCTTTTTTTTTTTAATGGATATAAGTATACAATACAGCACAGTAACTTCTCATTTAACGTCCTGGTTAACGTTGTTTTGTTGCTGATCAATTAGAGAACATGCTCGTTTAAAGTTGCACAATTCTCCCTTATAACGTTGTTTGGCAGCCACCCGCTTTGTCTACTGCTTGCAGGAAAAGCAGCCGTTGGAGCTAGCTGGTGAGGGCTTGGAACCAGGATGGACCGGCAGCCCCGCTATCAGCTCCCCTAAGTTCTCTGTGCAGCAGCTGCCGAGCAGGATATCAATTGTGTTAACCCTTGAGGGCTCAGCCGAGTGCTAGTTCATCATTTAGCAGTAAGGCGTTCCACCCTCTTGACTCCACCACCTCAACCAAGCTTCACAAGCATCATTGCTGTGTACAGTATTACATTGTTTAAAACTTATACTGTGTGTGTGTGTATAGTCTTTTGTCTGGCGAAAAAAAATTTCCTGGAACTGAACCCCCTCACCCCCATTTACATTAATTCTTATGGGGAAATTGGATTCGCTTAACATTGTTTCGCTTAAAGTAGCATTTTTCAGGAATATAACTACAACGTTAAGCGAGGAGTTACTGTACTTAATAAGTTTTGCGTGTTTGCACATATGGACTTCGGATTTTTTTTAGCATTGTTAGCTAAGTCATATATGTATTCAGTTAGAAATACTTCTGATCACTATTATTTGGCATGAAGAGATTTGTCCTTTCAGTAAATTCTGCCACCTGTACATCTTCAGGGTCTCTTAGAAGTATGCTACCTGGATGATTCAGAAAATATATTTTTAAAAATAAGCTGCGGAATTATACAGTCTCTTACATAGGAGCCTCCGGTTGAAACACATTAGTGTTACAGTTCAGCACTGAAAATGAAGGGTTGATTCTAAGGATTACAGCTTTCTAAAGATAACTTCTTAGTATTCAGTTGGTTTACTCGATTACTGAATGTCTAAAAACTTTCTTAAGCAGAAATAAGAAGGACAAAAAGAGAGAGAAAGAAAAGGATTCAAATAATGAAAGAAAAGAGAGAGAGCAATCCACATCCAAGAAAAAAAGTAGCAAAGAAAAAGATGGGAAGGAGAAGTCTGACAAAACCACTACTACACTGAAGGTAAGCACTTGTGAACAAGTGTTGAACAGGAAAGTGACTAAGCAGTAGAGTTTGATTGATTCTTGGCAAAATCTGTCATTTTCGTCTTCATTCTTTGCTAGTTTGGACAGTTAAGTATAGTTCCTACGAGCAAGAGACAGGTGCTCCAAAAGAAAGTGACTTTGACAGATCCATTAGATTAGGTCTCCCTACTTGAACCTTCCCAGCTCTTCAGGTGCTTGAGTGGGTAGGTAGGGAGAAATGAGTGGGATGGAATAAAGAAGCATAGGGTAAGGAGTGGGTTGGCTGCCTGTAGCCATCCAAAAAAGGCAGTTCAGTTTCAGAACTATGTGTCTACCTTGTACTTCCCTTCCACAGTGCTGCCTCCTGGTTCCCCAGGGTTAAAGGCTGGCTAGAGAACTCTACAAGGAGCAAAGCTGGAGGAGCAGGCTCAGTAGGTGGGTCAGGGAATAGAGGTATACGGATATTATTAGCAAAAATCAAGTGTTCAGACTGATTACCTTGTGATCTTTTGATTTTAACATTTCAAAAGTAGCCTATCCTTGAGAGAATTGTAATTGTGGCTATTTAACTATAGAAGTGAAAAAGTGAGACTGCAAGTGTCCAATTTAAAAAGTGACTGACTTTTAATTGCTTTCTCTACAGACTTCAATAATTATTTTATCCAAGAGCTATCATAAAAATGTAGTGGACATCTGAACAGAAATTTTGGTAAAATATTTAACCATTAAAACTAGAAATAGAGAGATCTAGTCCTCGTTTAAATGGAAACTCCGCAAAGTCTTAACTATGGAGTTGTTAGTGATATCTCCCTAGTATTGTTGTTCTGTTTTATTTCACTTTTGAATAATGGTATATAGCAAAATATAATTCTTTAAGGCAAATATTTCCAGAAGTAATTGGTGTTTTTTGGGTGCCCAACTTCAGACACCCTTAAATGGGACAGATTTTCAGAGGCTGTTGAGCACCCACACTCTTAAAACTGGACCTCTTTAAGCTGTCTCACGTTGGGTATCCAGAAATGTAAACATTCAAAATCACCAGTTACTTCTGGAAATCTTGGCATAATAAGGAATATTGTTGTTATGAAAATATAACTTTTTAACATTCTTGGTAGGACAAAGATCACACTAAAGAGGATCCAAATTCAGAAATTAACAAGGCAGTAGACAACAATGATACACAAAGGACAGAGGAAGTCAAACTACAACAGAATGGGAACTGTCAACCAAATGAAGAAAACCTCTCAGTTAAAATGGAAGAGGTATAAAGTAATGAATGGACCTCTGACTCAACTGTGGGGTGAATCCAAAGCTTTTTATTTCCCTGAAAGAGGAAGAAAACATCAAAGCAATCTACTGAGCAGGTTGATATGTACTAGTAGCTCTTCCAATCCTTGTGATAGCTTTGTTGTCTTCTTGCTGGAAAGCAAGAAAGACCATGGACCAGTAATATATGCCATGATAAAGGCAAATGCCATCAGAACTATTCATCTGTGAGAATCCATGCATTTCCATGATGGCTGTACTTATTTGTAAAATGATTTATGTTAACTTTTGCCAAGAACTGTTTCAAATAAGTGGAAGTTGAAAGATGTAGACCTGTATAAGCTGGCGGTATGCATTGGAAGTTGTTAAAATATTGCTAGTTAATGAATTTTGTATTGTTTTTCCTTGTGTTTTTTTTTTTTTAATTTCAATGTGTACTGTTCTGATAATGTGCTTGGAAATGGTGCAAAAATACACACTTTCCCTTCTACATGACAGCTATGGAAAAAAGGGTTTTTACTTTAGTACATAGTTTTGCTGTTATTGCGTTAAACGCCCACTGACTATTAAGTTTTCATTTGCTCACTGCTTGGATTCATTTTTTCTTATTTAAAGTCATTTTCTTATTACTATCCCTAAAATGAATATTTCTTTTAATAGTAGTTGAACAAGGCATGCTACTGTCCTATTTATAGAAGGAACAACCACCATATTGTATATAATAGTTTAGCTTACTGGGTTTCTTCCCCCTCTCCTACCCTCAAAAGTGAGCACATCTGTATAGTGGTATCAGAACTTCTGGTTTTGTTTTGAGCCATATTGCAGTGGGTCTGTTCAGCTGCATATGGTTCAGGTGTCATGAAAATCAATACCCCTGTTTTCAAAATAGTATATGGGAGCACAAGCTAAAGCTTTAGTGCCTTCTTAAAATATGGTATATTTTCTGGAACTTTATATATGCTATTAATTTTCAATTACATCTTACATAATCTCGATGGCTGTTCTACCAACACCACACCAGTAGACAAGAATGTGAGTGGTTTGTCAGAAAAGCTGTGCTGGGTTCACTTGGTACAAGATTGAAGCTCCATTTTTAAGAAGAGATTTATAAATGAATGCAAAAGTGCAGTTTGGAGACCATCGTACTATGAAGTATGGTAACTGAATACAGAGCATGCTCTAATTTCATCAAAATCAAAGGGAGCTCTTTAAACCTTTTCTGTACATTGAATGGCCTTAATCATTACCTCTCAATCATCTTCTCTAATGTTGGTTGTGTGATGTGAAAGGAATTGTGTGCAAAGTTTGTTTGAAAAGAATAGTAGTTGAATTTACATTAGAGTTATATGATAGAGATTCTATGTCCTTCTTGGATCCATTCTTTGGGGAGAAAGCATGTAACTTGAGAGAATGACACACTGCAAATATTTTGTCAAGTAAAAATGTGACTTGTGCTCTGAAGTAATCTCATCATTGTAAGATTTCTTAAAAGTCAGACCTTTAAAACTTGTTTAATACTAAAATCAAGTAGACTTATTTTTAATACAGTGTAATACAATCAAAAGACTTAATTGCCTTACCTCATGGGAAGAGTTATTTCTATCAATTTTAAAAGCTAAGTAGCATATTAGTTAGTTACTTTCAATTTGATTTTCCTTTTTAAAGTTAATACTTACAGAAGCCTAAGTGTTTTATGGGGAATGAAAAGTTGCCCACTTTATAAGGTAATGAAACCCAGTTTGTGCAGCTGCTTAATCACTCTTTATTTTTGTTAGGATTTGAAGTATCTCGCCATTGTGTACCATTAAAACTATAGAAAATGCTTTACCGTGTAAAGTATAAATGGTCATTTTTGTGATGTTTAAGCCACATGCAGTTGGCTGGTGAACAGCTTATTCCAATAAAAGAATGACAAATCTGTATGCTTATAGAAAGACTGTGAAGGATCAGGTCTTGCAACAACAGCTGTCTTATTTATGTGTAAGTAGCATAGAGCAAAGATTGTTTGTATACTTGTTATCTTTGGTACCATTTCACTAATAAAATTAAGTATTTTAGAGGGAAGTTTTTGCTTTTATTTATATATATATATATATATATATATATATATATTTGAAAGGAACATTCTTAGTTTATTATTCATCTACTTTTTCTCAGGGGGTTGCTTTGATTTGGAAAGTGCATGCCAGTAATATACATAGCATTTAAAAAATTAGCTTTTATATGATATCTTTCCTTGTGAGAAGTCAAATGTCTTTCACACATGGCTTCATATTTCAGATGTCAACATTTATTTTGATTCCTATTGGTTGTTTTTCTTTCTAGTATTCTGAAATTGCACAGCTCTATAATATGGTAGAAATTCATAAAAGATTACCTATGGTTGTCTAAGAACAATATCTTTGAAAAATTGAAAATTTGCAACAGCAGACTAGCAGTTTTACTAGCTAGTTGGAGTATGTGTTCCATAATTTAGCATATTCTCTTGTACTGCGGGATTTTTCCTAGAAAGCATGATAGTTTTCTTTCTCTGAAAAAAAATAGAAATTGCTGTTTTCTTACAAGCCCTAGTTTTCCGTTTGCTTTGTAAATATTTTTCATTTCTATTTTCAGTTTTTCTTTAAAATAATTTTTATTTTATTACTCCATTTTCCCTTCCCCAAAAGCCCACCACCAGGGAATTATCCTCATCCAAGAATAGTGCCTCTGCAGTAGGTAGATTGTATTTATAAGGCTGCTGCCTAGTAATACAGTTCATACCCTGCTCCCCAAGGATCGTGTGCATCAACTATTCAAAATGCACAGCCTCCACTAGATAACCAGTGTCTCCTTCATAGCAGGGTTGCATGCTGTGCTGCCATGTCACATTGCATTTTTTATCATCAGTCTAGGTAAACTAGCTGAAAGTGAGTGAAGTATATATTTTCAAGAACAACGTATTTAATAATAGATAAATTATTTTAAATATGGTTTCATCTGAATCAACATTTGCCGTAGCTGAAAGTGTTGGCAAATCATAGTTTAACTTTTGGGATTTTTCCACTCTGAAAAGAGACTGTAAAAATGGCATCTTTTATCCAACAAATCTGAATGTTTGTTCAGAATTATCTGCGAATAGTAGTGACTAACATTATTTTTGCAACTTATTCTTGTAGGGATGACACAGCTAAGAAAAAGTGAGCTGGATTCTGTTTCAAGGTTGTTGTTTTTTTGTTGTTGTTTTTTTCAAGTTCCAATTACAGGGCTACGCATTTAACTCTGTGTAAATCAATTGAGGTAAATAGGATTACGCAGATGTTACAAAGGAAATAATTTTCCCTGCAAAACCTTTATTGGGGAAGGGGAAAGAAGATCCTAGATCCCACAATTCCATGGTTATAGTCACTTTTCAGGGTAGAACTCATAAATTCAAAATTTCATCCTTTGTGCAAAAATGTGTTGTGTTTATCCATTGTAGAACTTAAAGGTTTGAATTTCAGTACTTTTTACCTAAGCAGAAAATAATAAGCAAAGGCAATTTTGGATGGTAAAAAAAATTGCTCACATATATGTTCTCTTCAGAATGCCTTCATTTTTTCCATTCATCTAAATAATAATTAAACGCAAGTAGTTGTTGCCTCTTCAAGAAGCTATCTTCTACTTGGGTTTTAGAACTGAAATATCTGGTTTGTTTTTGTTTGTTCATCTTATAATGAAATAGGATTATAGCTAACCCATTCTTATTTTGCTAGACTTTCTTTAAAAAAGATGATGAAATCGTATGTGTCTCTTGTAGCTGTTAGCCTGAAAATTGGGTTTCAGCAGTATAAACTATGAACCATTTTTAAATATCTGCACTATTACAAGCAAGTCTGGGGATATGATGGACCTGATTCACCACATGTTGCTCCTCCAGCTTTACTTTAGTGTGACTATTGATTTCATTGCGTTTTCAACCAGGTTAAAATGGGAGTGACACAAAAGTAACAGTGATGAATTGGACCTAGTGGGTCTGATCCTCCAATCTTCACTCCGGTAAAACTCCCATTAAAATCAGCAGGTGCTTATTTGAGAAAGATGTAGTGTTCCTCCCCAAAATATGGAGAATGGATAGGTGAAATTCATAGATGTATGTCGTTTGTTTTACATTAAAGGCTTGTCTACACTTAACTCTTCAGTGTAGAAACTACTTACACTGATGGGAGGAATTCTCCCATCGGCATCCACCTCCCTGAGAGGCAGTAGCTAGGTTGATGGAAGAAATCTTCCGTAGACTTAGCACTGTGAGATGGAGACTTAGGTCAGCTTACCTATGCCATTCAGCGGTATGGTTTTTCACACCCCTGAGCAATTTAGTTATGCCAACTTAATATCTAGTGTAGACCAGGCCTTAGTCTTACAGTCAACTTATCTTCAGATGGCGATTATTTGATTATTGTGTAATCATGAAAAAAGCTGAGTCAACCTCCATCTAATGTTTATTATATATTGAAAATGAAAAGTAAAGCATTTAAATGTAGTTTTGTGTGAGATAGGCATCGCCTCAGCCACAAACATTTCATTCCAAACTTATCAAGAGCTCCTTTGCATACAGTATTTATATCCTATTTCAAATCCAACAACAAGGAGGCTTGTCATCACGTTTTCTGCATAGCTCGTGCTGCTCTAGGCATCTATCTATCATACCCTGCAGATGAGAGCCATCTAAGTATCTGAGCACATCAATGTATGTTTTTTCCCTTTACTGCATTCCATATTCAACAATTGAATAAGCTGGTCTTGAGATGTGTCGGCTACCTTTCCCCCAGTGTATCTTTTACATTCGGTATAAAGCACGACCCAGTAAGACACTGGCCTGGTCTGGTCTGAGAGGGAAACCATTTTACCCCTTTATACTTTATCAGTTGTATTTGTAATGGTATTCTACAATTCAGAAATGTTAAAAACTATTTCTCACAGACTGTTTTGAAATGATCAATTCTGCAATCTAAGAAGATGAAAAAGAGCTTTGTCCCAGTAAAGTTTGACTATTTTGTGACTATTGGGCCTACTGCAGGATGATAGTGCCTTGTAAAAATGGACTCTAGCTGTTTGCTTGTTTTCTGCTTTAGAAATCTTTATCCTATGATTATTTTTGAGAATATTTGGCCTGTTTTGATTGTATATTGTTTTAAAGAGTCAGTTTAGTGCCACGTTTTGACAGACATGGATACTGAAGTCTTTTGATCACAAAATAAGTATCACCCTGCAGGGGCGGCTCCAGGCACCAGCGCAGCAAGCGCGTGAATGGGGCGGCAAGCCATGGAGGGCGGCCTGCCAGTCGCCGTGGGGGTGGCAGTTAGGCTGCCTTCGGCGGCATGCCTGCGGGAGGTCCGCCGGTCCAGCAAATTCGGCAGCAGGGACGCTGAAGGCGCAGCTCTGGCGGACCTCCCGCAGGCATGCCGCCGAATCAGCATGACCAGCGGACCACCCGCAGGCGTGCCGCCGAAAGCCACCTGACTGCCGTGCTTGGGGCGGCAAAAAACATAGAGCCGCCCTTGTCACTCTGGCAGTAGTAGTACAAGCTTTCTCACACAGATTGGTTGATGTGCCTCACATCTGACCTGAAAGGACTGCCATTGGCAGCAGTAAGAGCGTAGCTTAGTCTTACCATCCATTCAGCCCTTAGAGTCACTAATGAGACTTCCAGCTCAATGGTGCCAATTGAGAGTGGTTTCCAGGATATGGAGAACTGTCCACTACAAACTAGATTTGGGACATAACTCTCAGGTCACTGGGCTTTCAGTCAGTGACTAATGAATTTGGCTTTGAACTGGTGAGTTAAGGTAAAAGGTTCATACATCTACATCAATTCTGTAATCCAAACAACTATTTTTCATGAACTGCTGAAAAATTGCCAGTTAATAAATTCATAACTCCACTATTATTTAAACAAAACAACCTGGTGGTGGAGCACTGGAGATAGGTAGGTAGCTAGGTAGTTATGCACAGTTCATTTCATTAATCATTAGCGGATCCTTTGCCACTTCTCTAGATCTCTAAGGTGCAGAGCCCATGTTTTACTTTTTGCACAATATCTAGCACAAAAAGCTCCCTGATCTGACTGGGGACTCGGCACTACTGTAATAAAAATTGTTACTAATAATTTCCCTTCCCCTAATACTAGATGTTTCTGATAAAAAAGTAAAATTGTTCTGTGTGGGTTATGTATACTTGTGTGTTAATAAAGTAATTATTAAATAGTATGAGTAAAGAACTGTCAAATGCTGCTACTATTATGTTGCTATTTTTGTAAATAAATAAGTCCTAAGGTTTTTTTGATTTATGTGTGTCTTGGAAACTCTCTCGCCTAACCCAGTCTGATTTTAGTGAAAAAAATGTTACCTTCTTGCTGGCTGGCTAGCATGACAGATTGCTCAGCTTTCTGAAGCTCTCCTTTTTGTGCCTTCAGGCTGCATCTACACCAGAGAATTGAATGGCTGGTAACTGAACTTGAGGGCTAGAACCGGAGAGTGTACAGGAATGGGGGTGGGAGGCTTAAACAGTGTTTAGCACACCAACTTTCTCTAGTGTAGACAAGGCCTCAGAGTGCTAAGCGATCCCGAGAGGCTGGTTGGGAGGTTACTTGTCTCTAAGCCCAGTTCCACCAAGGATGCGTTTCCTTTTAAACAAAAGAGGTGAAAACTTGGTTCCATTAAAGTCAATGGCAGTACTCACATTTACTTAAATAGGGTCAGAATTTCACCCAAGTTCTTTAGTGCTAACAATAAATAATATCAATTCATTGAGAGTGTGATTTTTTTCAAAAGTATCAAGAGTCTATGGGAGTTAGGCACTTCACTTGTGTAGGCACTTTGTAAATCCTATCAGGCACCTATCTGCATCTTCCAGGGGCTAAATATCTTTGGAAATCTGGCTCTGAGTGGCTTTGGAGCACAAATCCAATTTGTTTTCCTATGTCACTTAGGCACTCTTGAAAATCCTGCCCTGTGTCAGTAAGAATCTTGCCATATTGGTTTTGAAAGTTACCCTATTTATGGTACATTTTCTGGCTGGTTTGACTCCAACTCTTCCCGTT